GATGTATAGGACGTGCTTGAGCTGTTTTATCTCAGTATTTCACGCTTATTGTACTCGCTATCACTTAACGCACATTTAAGAACACAAATTTTCCTTCTGCGAGGATAACTAACTGTAACCATCGGTAACAATACACTAGATACGATGGCATGGCAAGAAATTTACGCGTTCTTAAACAAACTCCCCCCCCCCACAAAAAAATTTATTGATTTTCTTAAAGGGAAAGGTTTTCGCATGTGAGTGAGGGGACTTTACTTGAACGTCTCATGTTCTCATGAGTTCGTATTTCTAGAGAAATAGAGTATTGCAAGGTCTGCTTGTTGTTAAACTAAAACGTTAGGAATTCTAAATTTTTCCCCTCTAAATTGTGGTTCAGTTTTATAAAGAGAAGTACCGGGGCTCGTCTTATTTAGGGCTCCGGTGCGCTCCGACTAAAATTGTAATTTATCTTAAAAATTGAGAAGCACCGGAGCCGGGCTTCGGTGGGCTTCGGCGCAATTTAAGCCCTGATTGTGGTAAAACAACGGTACATAGAGCCATCGAATTACGAATGACGTCTTCCTCCTACGAATATGGGCACGTGGAAGACCCAATTTGAAATTTGAAATTTGAAATTTGTTTTATTATCGATTTCCTATTTTGTAAAACATTAACGAATTTTTGATTAACAAACTCAAGGATTTCAAAGCGAGAATTGGCAACATTCTACGGGAGGGGGGGGGAAACCTTTTTATCTCCAGCGCGCGGAACTGTGCATCGGAAATGCTAAAGATAGGCTCATTTTAAAATTATTTCGCGACATTGCTATTGAACTGGATTTTAGGGTTTAAGTGCAAAGAACATGATATTTAATAAATAAAAGTAACACACAAAACGTTGAAAAAACGCCCCTTTGGATGTAATTTAAAATCTGAAACCATTCAGATTTTTCTTTTCAATATTTTTATCTTGAGGATGTTTTTTTAGCTTTTTATCCTAATTAATAAATTAATTAATGTTAATTAAAATATTCATATTTAACTTCTTTCTACTTAACCAAAATTTCCTCAAGTGCTTCGTAACTAAATTAAATAAAAATATCAAAATATTTCTTTTTTATTTATTTTTCTTTTTCTTCAAAATTTTTCACTCCTATTCTACATCAAAATAATTTTAAGGCGCATAAGGTTTCTAATTTAACGAACCACTTATCTTATCATTTCGGTTTTTCTGCACGTCTTCTTTAGACAACATCCACAGTACAACGCAAATTCTTTAAAGTGTAAAGTAACGGCACATTTCAAAATTTAGCAGAAAGCGTATGGCAGCTTAGTTTGGTGGTTACCCTGCTTTAAATATCATTCTGTAAGCTTTAGCCTTCTGAGAAAGATTTGTTTGAAGCGATTCTTCTCGACTCATTAACCAGGGGTAGTCAAGTTTTATTACACATTTCGTCATATCGAGTAGGACACTACGCGACACACGCCCTTAATCCTGGAACGGAAACTTAAAAATTGAGCTCTCTGTTAAGACCCGGCCGCTGAACTAGCCAGCTGGACGCTTGTTTCATCTCGGGTGCGAAAACCATCACCTTCATGGAGACCAGGAAGCCTTCCAATGATCCCTGCCATTCCAAATGTTTCTTATTAAATGATAAACATCAATACCCAAAGTTTCAAAAAATTATGCAGCAACTCTCTTTCTACAGCCTAGACCTTTGTCAAGTATAAGTTCTCATACTGCATAAATGTAATGAACATTTACGTCATGTGAATATGTTCCAAATGTTTCGACTTGTCAACTTAATAAACTGTAATAACCTTTTATAACTGCAATAAACCCCGTGGACACCTCTTTAGTATTATTATTATAGTTCAGTATAACATTGTATTCCCAGTATTCATTATACATATATGTTACTTATTATGTGTATCTGTTATTTTTGTTACACCAAAACAGATGTTCAATCTAATTTGTGAATTTCTAATGGTATTGAAAGTACTATATTGTAATATCTTTATATCGTAAATCATTATTTTTAATAAATACTAGATGTGGGATTTCAAAATGTAGCATAATAGGTAAACTCTGGATCCTATGGAAAATTTTAGTTGCTCATTTCTCGACCTTTTTTTTATAAATTCTTATAAAACTTAATTTTTTTAAACAGTTAGCATAGGAAGGCTTTGCCAATTGACCCATGGTACATCGCTGGTGTCTCACCCGTCACTTTTCCTCCCCCCCCCCCAGAGCCGCTGCTATCATAGCACAATATTGAGCCAATTATAAATCAAGTTCTGTTGATGCTATGAATTACATCCCAGTTATTTAGAGTTTTTGTTGAAAAGGTGTCGTTCTACCCGAAAATTAACAGAGTTGCTTTTCTATTAACTTTCATTTCGTGTAACAGTAAGGTAAAAGTGTGTCTTCATTTTGGATTTTAGTTTCGTTATAGGACTTTTAACTAAGGCAGACGGGACGAAAAGTTGTCTGATTATTTTACGATTAACTGAATAGTTAGCAGTAACCTTGCATTTAATGGCGCAATCGTATAACAATATTAAGAAATATGTATTTCATGATGAGCTATACCTGTATGTGTATAGTGGATTTCTGGTATCTCGCACACTTCTACCTGTACTTGACCTTAAAATAGCACAAAATGTATGTCGTTTAAAAAATGAGGTATTCTTGAGTACCGAAAGTCAGCTCATAGTAAAGAAAGTAATTTCACTGTTTCAAACTTTTATTTGAGAGTATTATTATTTTTATCGTAAAATATATTGTTTAAGAATTATATTTCTTTATATACTGCTCAGTAATGTTTAACTTGCTCCATTAGAAAGTTGCCTTTTTCATGCACAACGAAATGAACAGTGATAAATTGTCATCGCATTCATATCTTTGAAGCGGTGGATATAAAATTCACATATTTTATGAATATAGGATTAAATTTTAAGACCATATATTTAGAATTAAATTTTACGACATAAAAATGTCATTATTATTTTAGAAATTACATTATATTAAAAATTCCAAATTGTACCTAGAAAGGAAAACTTTTGTGTTATTAATCGTATTTAACCTTAAAAAATAGCTATAGCGTTAGCTTTTCGCGAAGTTGTACTCTAACACTCTTTCTAAATCTGCATGCTGTCTTATATAACTTGTCTCAACAATTTCTAATTTTGCTATTAATATCCAATTCTTTGAAAGAATTCTTATGTTCGAAAATATTCTCTTTTGAATTATTCATTTAAAATTATCTGACTGCAACTTAGAATAAAGGTATTTCACACAATGAAAATGTTTTAGTCTTAATTTTGAAAAAAAAAATTAAAACTCTAGGCAAGTGAAAGTCATTCTTTCAATTTAAAATTAAAACGGTTTAAAGTATAACTCTTTGCTTTGTGTTTCAATGCGAAAAACTGAGAACTGAACAATGTAAATGTGAGTAAATATTTAAATTTTGTTTTGTTCTTCAAGAGTGTAAATATTTAGAACAGCATGAAAGATACGTGTTTTTTCCCTGAAAATATGAGCCATAATTTTCTTTAGAATGTCATCTATTAAGTTAAATCTGCCCCAGACAGGTATCGCACGACAAACTTTAAGGAATCACGTATCTTTAGATAATTTGAAAAACCGAAATTTTATAACACTTTTACATTAAAATTCGACTTTTTATAAACATTTTAAAACAAACCTAATGTAAAAATTCACTATAGAACTGAGGCTACAAGAAAAAACAGTTTTAAGTTACCATTTAAAGAGCCATATCATTTGATAACATTTGCATTTCAGCGAATTCCACGGATTTAGTTATCTGAACTACCACATGTTGTACTTATGTACAGAGTTTTATATAAATATTCCCACAATTAAGCTTATATCTATTTATATAAGCATTTTATAATAAACGCAAAGTAAAAATTTCCTGTAGAACCAAAGTTACGATAAAAAGTAGTCCTAAGTTACCATTTACAGAGCCATATCTCTTTATAACATTTGCATTTGAGCGAATTCCACATATTTAATCCTGTGAACTATTCATGAAATGCTTATGTACATAACTTTATGTAACTATATATTTTCACGTGACGAAAAAATAAATTTATATCTATTTATATATTTATTAAACTTAAGAAAATAATACGCTTCCAAGGTAATTTCGTTCTTAAATGAGGTTTAAGAAAATTGTGATTTTTTCCCCTGCCTGCTTGGATATGTAGGATTTCTTTGAACTCTTTGATTAGAATTTCAAGAAATTCTTATCGATCGTGTGAACAATATATTTATATAAAATAACCAGCTGTTGTACTTCTGACATAACAGTTTCAAGAATTTTATTTAAATTTGAAATCTCACGAAAATTTTGACTTCTCACCTGAAAAACAAGAGTAGGATTAAATGATTAAAAATCTTAGATCCAAATTCGTCTGACAATTATTTAAATTTTGTAACCGTGTTAATGTAACAGTGAGTCTAATATGTGCTAAAATGTGACGCCCGACAGGTCACGCAAAGATGCAATGTGAGATTAGAAGAATTCGGAAATGACCCATACTGGGTCACATAAAACACAAAGAAGGTAAGTTGAGTTATAAGTTTTAGCGATGAGTCAACGTGGAAGCAGAGAAAGAGCGCGCATCTCCAATTACCCCGAATGACAACGTATCAGTTCACACGTATCTCTATTTTTCTGAAACTAGTCAAAGAAGATATGTATGTTACCACAGTTCCGAATAATAGAAGTCTCTTCCGACTCTTCAGTATTAATGTTAACAGTACGTTCTATTTTTATGCATAAAATAATCCTACTTTTACATGTTAAGATTTCCAAATTAATACATGTATACGTCTTTTGTTGAGACCTAATATGATGTGACCTTTCTCCCTCAGAATAGATGTTTTACATTAAAAGCATTTACAAACTATTACAAGAAAAGGGAGTTTTGAAAAAGAAAACATTCACTAACTGAAAGAAGATACAGAAATATAAAAAGAAAACATAAATTTACCTTCATATTTGGCTTGAAATCCCTTATAAATTGAGCCCGCATCTGTAGTATGGTATGTGACAAGCATTCTGTGACCTGTGGATACAAATCTCTCTCCCAAAGTTCTATTGCCGCAGAACCTGCCTAAGAAAAGGAAAACGTCACACAAATATGTAAGACCTCTCCATGTCAATTGTAGTAAAATTATTATTTTTGGGTTGATGAAGTAAAACGAATTTTATACAGTCTTTGGAAATTGGTTGAATGTATAATGAATTATCGCAATCATTCGTGTGTTCTCTCTTGATATGAGTGGTAGCAACAGCAACAACGAACATCTTTAGTTCGGATTCCAATGACAGGTGTTAGTTTTTCCCTTTTGGGGATGTTAGTTTTTCCCTCGCTTCTCCTCTTCCATCACTGAGGGATATCAGGTTTTTTGCATAGGAAATATAAGGGTTAATTTTCTTATGTTACTTATCCGAAAAACTAATACGTCTGGAAATATAGCTCTCTGATAGTCTTAAGTTCTGATAATTACTATGTTAAGTTTTCTGTGAAGAGTTTATAAGTGCGCTAATCTTAATTGTTGTATAAATTTAATTAAAGTCACTCAGATCTTTTTTAATTAGATAACTGCTGGTTATTATATATGTCGTCTATCTTACCATCCATTAATATTATTGTGAATAAATAATATGCGTCGCTCAAAACAGTAAAACATTCGTGTAACATTATAAATTTCATTCCAAATGAATCTATAATCACCACAGAATAACAGAATGTAAGGCACTATCAAACAATTATCTGTTTAAAAGATTTCTGATTCTTCCTAGCAGCTTTATATAGAGAAATTAATTCTATTGATTTCAGTAATTCCTGAAATTGTGTTCTAAATAATTAGCAGCGCTTCTATAATTATATTTTTAATATATATTAATAACGTAACTAGGCAAGTTTCCCTTTTATTACTTTTACAAAATCTTTTGATAAATACTTGTTATTCCTCTATTTTTAACTCTTTCAAGACTGTAAAGGAACATCATAATAGGGTTCTTTTACTGTTTTTAATAACATTTTGGGTTTTCATGTTAAATGATTAACTCATTTATTTTTTTAATGTTAAAGTAAATCGAACTGGAAGATAGATACTCCAAAAAAGGCGATCTGAAACATGTCCCACTTCTTCAGGAGCAAACCAATAATCTTTCTAGATTTATAGAGCCATTAGATTATTTTTGTGAAGCAGGAGACATGAAAAAGATCAATGTCCTCGCCTGGACTCGAACCTGGACCTCTCGAATACGCGACGAATGTGTTATCGTTACACCCCGAAGGCGTGCTGGAAGAAGGGAGAAAATACCTTATAATGTATTCAATTTTCAAGTGTTTGTGAGAGAAACAAGAATTTTCTAGAACGAAATTGTTGTTTTGATTGATCAAAATTGAAGTTCTCTGCATTGAAATATCTAAATAAGTGATATCGTATTTCAGTCGAAAAGTAATATAATACCTTACATAGCATATTGACAAATTTTTTCTCAAACGTGAAAAATTTGAAGACAAAGTTAACAGAAGACATTCTACTGAAAATTCCTTCTGACGCTCTTGTCACAATGAGGATTAGACTGTTAAGTAAAGGTTGAGTTTTTCACATTTCCAGCCTTGAAAATGGGAATGGAAAAAAAAAAAGGCCTCAGCATTTTGGATGGAAATGGGAAGGGTCAGAAATATTTCAAATAAAGAACGTACTTTTATTCTCTATGCTATCATGATTTGTTAAAATATCCAGTAAAAGTTTTAGAAAGAGGAAATTACGGAGGGTTAAGGCATTAATATTCATTCAGTGCTTAGAGATATTCATGGCAAGTGTATGTGTACAAAAGAAAAAGACTTTGTTAACATTGATTTTGTTATCATGTTTAATTTTGCCAACATTGAAACTCTCATAAAAATGTTTAGCTCAGTTATCGATGCAATTGGAGAATTGTCGTTTTCTTAATTTCAAAACTAAAATTAAAAAAAAAAAAATGAATGGAAAGGTTTATATGGCACAACCCTTTTTCAGTTATCTCAGTTTGAAGCTGGATGACAACATTATTGGCAGACGTTGAATTTCCATTTATGCTTCACTCTTTTACGTGCTCTAAATTTTCAAAAATTAAGTTTTAGGAAAGCGAAAAGTGTTAATTCTATTGGTGCAAGATGAGTTTTATATAAACTAATAGCTGCGCGAGTGGCAATGCCTTCGATCTGGCATACGTAACTCGAAAATATAGAGCAAAGGTAAGTTGAGATCATTCGAATGAGTACTAAATGAAAATTCAGCCTGAAAAAAAAAGAATTAGTACTTATAAAATGGCAAAACAGTTCTATAATTCATAAACCAATATCTTACCAGAAAACTGTTTTCAGTAAAAAAAAAAAAAATTAGATAAATAAATGAAATCAGTATTCAAAGAGAAAAATTATTAAGACGAAATTGCGTAAGGAAAAGAAAACAGTGGGGTGTAAGAATAACGCCATATCGTCGAAACCCATCTCTGTCCGAAACCGCGTCTCCGTTATTATGCGATGACCAACCATACTGTGTCGAGCAACAAGTTCGATGGTCCCTTTAAATCAGGGTTTCTTAAACTGTGGGTCGCGACCTCCAAGGGGTTCGCGGGACCTGCAGCAGGGGAACGCCAAAAATTTTAGCAATTTTGATATTTCTTTAACTTATTATGTAATTTTACAATTACCAAATGTTTTTTCCACAATGCATCTGCAAATAGATAAAAATAAGGCAATACAGACAAAGAAAAAACGAAAATGCTTCGACGCATTCCTTTTATACTATAAACGTTCATTTTCCTTGCTTTGCACGTGACGCTGTCATTTCGTCTGTTATTTGCTTAAAATTTTCACATTGCTCTACGTCAGGGGTGGCCAAGCTCCTTAATAGTCCGAGCGATTTTTCAAAATTTGAAATTTTTCGCAAGCCGCAATTAAATACGTCTTTAAAAGGTATGCAAGAAAGGTATTAAAAATGTTTTTACATAAATTGTATTTATTAAAAACATAATAATAATAGTACAAAATATGTGTATTGAATTTAAATATTAAAAATTAAACACATTTATTTTACTTCTCTTGATAATTCTTTAAAATTTGGTGAACAATTGGTGACAGCACTTCTCGGTAATTCTTTGAGATGATCGGTGTTTGGATTTCACAAGTTTTAAAGTGGAATAAAATAATTCACACAAGTAAGTTGCTGCGAATATTGAAATAATTCGACAAGCAGCCTTTTTTAATTTAGATTCGGTACAAATTTCCTTCGATTCTGGTACAAATTTCCAAAATTCAGTAATCGGCTTCGATTTATATTTTAATTGTAGAGCTTGATTTTCTTGCATTTCTATCAATTCTAATTCTCCAGATGCTTTTTGGATCATAATTATATTGGAAATGGAAAACTCACCTTGAATTATGTTAATTTCAAATGGATTCAGAAAAAAATCAAGAGACGATGGACGGATATGAAATTTGTTACAACGTTGCATTTAGTCCTTCATGTTTGTTGTCTGTAATTTAAAAGACATTTTGAAACACATACGGAACGATAATAATTTTTTTAAAATATAATAACACAAAAATGAAAAGGGAACTGGGGTACATTTATCGAGAGCCACAAATAATCCTTCAAAGGGCCACGTGTGGCTCGAAGCCGCAGGTTGGCCACCCTACTATGTCTTAAAATTAGATATTAAAGTTAGTGACCTAAAACTGTAAAAGTATATTATAGTACAAGTGAAAAAATTGACAGTTTCACTCGCTTGCGGGTCGGATTTGCGCAATACTTAATTCAAAAAATTTCTGTAAATATTATGGGATCCTGGGGGTCTCGAGAAAATCTCAGTGATAAAAAGTGGTCGCGACTGAAAAAAGTTTAAGAAACCCTGCTTTAAACTATCACGCCATATTAGCAGGAAGAAATGAAGAGTTCATTATAAATATTAACGAACTGTAGAGCCATTAGGTTATTTTGAAGCAGGAGAGATGAAAAATGAGCAGTGCCCTAGCCAGGACTCGAACCTCAGACTTCTAGAATACGCGCGAGCGTGCTGGCCATTACACCATTCCAAGAAGGCATGCCAAGAAGGCGGGAGAAACACCTTATAGAATCACAGCAAAATAAATAATTGCAGATAGCTAGAGGAAAATGTGGATTTTGAGCAATATATTGGCAATTCAAAATCTCTTAGCTTAAATCGCAGTTCAGCTAATTGTCTGCAAACTGATCAGCTGATTGACTACTCATTAACTAGTCCCAGCTCTTGGAGCCGCATTTATATAGTGTGGCACGCACGTGGACATAGTGAAGCACAAGCTCCAAGGAAAATCGGCCGAGAAGAACATATTTGCCCATATTCTGAGGTTACACCTAAGTACTTTTAAAATTTAAACGTTGTTGGCCTCCAAATTGTAAACTTTACAAATCTATATAAGAAATAAACGCATTATACAAAAATTGTGGCCACAAAAACGATTCAAAACACATAAAACCATAAAATTATTGCTTTAAAATTAACAAATAAGCAGTTAAATTGATGAAACTGTGTATAATGTTACAATAATTCAGTAAAATAACAATACAGTAAAAGAAGTATTTAAATATTTCCAGATATTTGCAAAAATATCATTTTCAAAACTCTATATCTCAAATATTTTTTTTATCCTTCATTGTTCTGAAAAAGGAACAGAAGATATCCGTTATAGTATCTGTTATTATCTTCTACGAAAATCTCAAGGCTTTATACAACTTACATTTAAATACGTCAAGGCTTAAATTTAATCGAGATACAGGAAAACGAGCTGTTTTTGAGAAATAAAAAAATCTGATGTGGACAGCAAATAACTTCCTTGTACGGAATATTAAATTATACGCATTTTTTTCCTTGAATTTCATTTAAATTGATTGGATTGAATTATATCTATTTCAGCGACAGCGCATAAACCACAATAGAATAAAGGCACTCTTTAAAATTCACTGTATTTGTTTACTATAACGACACTCTGAATGCACAAAATTTATATCATTTGAAGAATTATCTTATCGTTGCCACATTTTCTATTCAAATACTATAATAAAGCTAGAACGATGTATGAAAGAAATTAAGCAAACAAAACAGAAAAGAAACAGTTTTTCACAAACGATTTAGTATTTCTCATTCAATTAATTCAGTTCTCACTTCGCGACAAGGCAAAAATAAATAAAAACTCAAAATAGCCTTATTAAAAATTACGAAGTAAATCTTAAACACTTATTTCCTGGAAAAAATTCCAGAAAGGATTAAGCATGATTTAATTCGCAATAATAAATGAAGGCGTTATTTCTGTTGTTCCAAAGCTTAGTCTCTCTAGATTGGCAACAAATCTACAATTCTGCTGTTTCAAATGTAAACAAAATATGTCCGCCATGTTATTTAAAACTTAACCGCACTTAAACAGCTTTTAAATTGTTGATAATTGTACAAATATTGCTTCCAGAATTACGAAAGGCATAAAAACCTTAACCGGAAGATAAGAACAATATAATTCAATCATTTTTAAAGCATAAAATGTACAATTTACAAATATATAAGAGTAAAGAAACTGAGATCACTGTGCCGAGTAACAGAGTGGATATATATATATATAAATATAGTATTTATATGCGTTTGGTGCGGCCGATTGCAACCAAAATACGAGGTGCACATCTACATGTTACAGCAGTCCTATATACAAAATTTCAACGTTCTGCGCTACTCGTTTTCGAGTTATGCGAGATATGTACGTACGCACGTACGTACATACATTCGTACAGACGCCACGAAAAATTCTCTTCAGAATTAATTTTTAAAAGCAGTTTTATAATTTTTTTTGAGGAAACGAGTCTTTTATTCTGTTCTTACGTACAGATATAACTCAAAAACATCGTTTAAATTGCATTCGATAGCGGGTCAAAATGGATATTTTCGTTGAAATATGCTGCCTGAAACTTTTCGCGATTACAATACTTCCTTTTTACTTCGTACAAGGAAGTAAAAAGCCCACTAAACCATATTAGAAATTCATAATAAACTTTGTTTAAAACAAATTTTTCCGCTCTATTCAGTGGTATAAAGAGTGAAATTCTGAGAGCAGGTATTTTTTCTTTTAAAAGTCAAAAGAAATTTTGTCATTAAATTAAAGAAAAACTAACTTAAATCCTGAAAAATCACTATGTCATACGCATCTTCATCGTCCCGATAACATGTAACTAAATGTCGTAGCTCCGAACCTTATTGTCTTAGTACTATGTACGAACTCTCATTAACTCTTTATCTTATAATAATAGAGAACAAAAATAATTACAACGACTAATATCGTAGGCCCCTAAAGCAATAATCGCCAATGTATCAAATAATTTTTACTTGGTTTTCTGTCCGACAGACAAATTAATTTCATAAACACTGACTTGTACTTCCATTAAGAATCCGTCTCAAAAAAAAAAAAAAAAAAAAAAAAAAAAAAAAAAAAAAAAAAAAAAAAAATCTGAAAGGTTTCAGACTTTAAATTACATCCAAAGGGGATTTTTTTAAAATGTTTTGTGTGTTACCTTTATTTATTAAATATCATAATTCTTTGCACTTAAACCATAAAATTCAGTTCAATAGCAATGTCACAAAATAATTTTAAAATAAGCATACCTTTAAAATTTCCGATACACAGTTCCACGCGCTGGAGATAAAAAAAAGTTTTTTTTTCTTATAGAGCGTTGCCATTGCTCGCTTTTAAATCGTTGAGTTTGTTACTCAAAAATTCGTTAAAGTTTTACAAAATATGAAATCGTTCATAAAAGAAATTCCAAATTTCAAATTTGGTCTTCCACATGACCATTTTCGTAAGAGGATTACATCATTCAAAATTCGATGGCTCTAGGTACCGTTGTTTTACCACAATGCGAGAAATATACATACATTTATGCAGATTTTTTATTATTTATTTTCTTCAAATATAATGCAGAACTCTAACATTGGGTGGCAACAGTTCGAAAAGTGAAACGGACATTTATAATGATTCGACACAAAATTACAAAACGAAAGCAATAGTCCTTTAGGGACAAAGTCCCTTTGAACTAAAAAAGAAAGCAATATCTTGTTTTGATGTTATTAGTTTCGATGAACCCAGTTGAAGTGACAGCAAACCCATTTTTAGCAGAAATTAAGAGACATTAAATACTCCCCAAAATTTGAAATTACGAAGTTTCATTTACGAGTTGTTCAGAAACAAAGGGTGAAAGCTAGAGAACGTAAAAGCTCATCTCGCGTTGAAATATTAATCGATTAATTAAAATGAAACCTCCATCCCTTCGTCCCACTGGAATTAAGTTATATCTCTCTATTCGGCATCAGATCCGATGTTGCAACTGCAGATTGCTATTCATAGAAAATGACTTAGTGTTTAGATCTGCATATTTATAATGTTAATAAATTAACCCGTAAGTTTCTGATACAAATTTAATTGCGCTTGACCCAGAATGGAAACTATTTCATTGGATCTTATAGCGCTTGAAACGCAGAAGGTGAAGCGTTGTTGCAGCAAGAAGTTTCAAATCTTCGATTTAAATGTCAAGCAAAATAAATAGGAAAACAAGCAGCAGCTTTCTTTGGAAACTATTCTTCATTTGATTCTTTTCATGATGTAATGGAACACATTTGCTTACATTATAGCATGCCCTATCGCCATAACTCTTTCATCAGGAATTATCTTCAAACTTGTATATCTTTAACAAGAAAAGAAACATGCAGTGTAAAATGAAAAATTAAGTAAAAGAAGGAAGCCATAAATTGAAGCAGATTTTAAACAAAATTCCATCGATTTCAAGGATTATCTGAACTTTCTTAAAAGCGGATAGTCTTGAATTTTTTTTTTTTTTTTTTTTATCAGTAGACGAATGTTGATTAATCGGCTTACAGCTTTACGGACTTGTATGAATTGTATGACTTATCTTGCATGAATGACAAATATATTTGCTTCCTTGTAAGCATGACTAAAGTATTTCCTATAGACATGCATAAAAAATATTATGTTGCCTCAATCTAACAGAGAAAATAAAGAGCTTAAGAACATAGGATATTGATTCCAAACAAATTAGTTAGCTGCAGGGTCGTTTTCATGGATTCACAATTGTGCAACTTAACATGAGACAGTTTCCTTTAAAAAAGTAACCTATGACGACATCTCTCTCCTTAGACAAACAGCCCTTGTCTTCCTTTGCCTTACTGAATTAAACACATAAATATAATAGAATTATCTCTCTCACTTTCGCTATTTTAAACAAGAAATGAGAGAAGTTTTTGAAAAATGCAAAAATTTAGTTTCAGCGATAAGTACAACAGCAGACTATGAAGTGAACGGTAAAAGAAATTTTTTTAAATCAAGCCGTCAGTCAATTGAGGTAAAAACTTATTCTTGAGAAAAATATTTTTTCATTGTAGAAATATAAGAAGAAACAGATGTTTTAACATCACAACTAAAATGGGGATACGAGAAATTTATTATTAGGCTTCCTTCCTTCGACTTCCACGAGTCAGAGCCTCCCTGCGCGTTGGATTATCCTATGAGTCGTTAGGCTAAATTTATTACATTTTATTTTAAGAGTTAAGCAAGAAGTGGTAGCTTTTATTTTTTATTTTTATTTTTTATTTATTTATTTATTTTTGAGAAAGCTTCAGATGTTCAGTTTCTGAATGGTGCAAAATTAGAGCTATTTGATTTCGGCATTTTTGAAGAGAAGCTTAGCACTTAAATATCCAAATGATATGAATGCCCAAGGTTGCATGAGAAATACCTCGTTATGAACTATCACATTTCAATAGCTCTCATCGCTAAACAAGATCAGATCTTTTAAAGATGATTCAAGAGTCCTGTTTAGTTCTGAATTCAATTCGGAGATAAAATCTGAATTCAATTCTATTTCTATCTATTCTGATCTATATCTGAATTCAATTCCATATCTGAATTCTATATCTGAATTCAATTCGGAGATTGCATTAAGAATATTTTTAACCTTGCCAATTTTGTATTGTTTAATTGAAAGGAACTTTAGGAAACTCAAAACTGATTATAAGAACCATGTTATGATTTAGTATTGTTACCTTTGTTGAATATAAAAGTGCACAGCTATAGTGAATTTTACCACTCGCCTTGACAGAAAAGTGGTTAGTGACTCTTACTGCCGTACCAAAGGGCATGGGCTCAAATCCTGAAAAGGCATGAATGTAAATTGTTCGTCTTTTCATAGGAGACAGCTGTGTAGGTGCCTCTATAATAAAGTGCTTCCGGCCTTAATAGGGACCAACTGTTATAATGGTTAATGCCAACCTTGAGGGAAAAAAAGCTAATTTTATCTTATATAGGGGCCGCTTGTTTTCATATTACATCAAGAAAAATCTACGAAACACGCTCACATAACCAGCGCCAGGATTTAAACCCGGATTGGACTTTACTTTTTATTTACTTTCATAGCTTTCAGCTCTCTTGTGCCATCACCGACTTTTTGGATACAAAATATATTTTCAAGCTTGGAGACTGGGGAATAAAAATTCATCTTATAAGGTATTTCTACGGCTTTCTTAGCATGCCTTCGTGATGCAGTGGTCAGCACGCTCGACATGTATTAGAGAGATCCGTAGATCGAGTCCTGGCGAGGGCATTACACATTTTCATGTCTCCTGCTTCTAATAACCTAATATCTCTGCAACTTTTCGATGGTTTGCAGCTTTCATTAACGATCCAATACCTAGTTTGTCCAACAGGTATGGGGCTCTTGTATGTTAGCCTAGCTATTACATTTTGAACAGATACCCTATTATGTATCTATCAGAATATCAAAATATAATTTTATCACATAAAGCACACAAATAAAATCAGTTTTTGTTACTTTCAAATATTGAATTAAAATAAATAAAGCAAAAACAACTGACCGAGAAGAGGGGATTTACTCCAGTAACCATCTCGTATCTCTAAATATCCTTCATTGCAGGAAGGATCTATATCCATTGCTGTGAATTCGAAGATAATTCTTTCTCCTTGGGTAGCAGAGATTCGCCACACGCAGTGATAGGGTCCTAACTTCCCATATTCAAAACCTGGAGATTGAATGTGACTGGACGGTTCATGGCAAGTTCGACCACATTCTGCAAGACATCTCAGCAAAAATTAAAATGAATGAACTGGAAATAAAACTTTAAACCAGTTAGATATAAAATTTAATCAAGGATGACAAATAAAACGAAATATATATATTGTGAAAAAATTCTTCTGTTACTGGAAATAATTTTGACAACTTAATAACTGCGTTAAAATTTTCATGAATTTTATTTTTTCACTTTATTGACTTATTTAATTTACGCTAGCAATAAAATCCGCTGTTCAATAACAGAAAGCATAACAGCAAGTACGTTGAGCTGTGAGTGTTATGTAAAATTTCTAAGGTCTGTGAAATGCAACTGCAAAATTTTATTTACTTTCATTAACAGATGTATTTTAGTTATACATTTTGTGTAGATTTATTTAATTTAACTAACAGTTAATTTTTAGTTAAAGTAACTTTCCTTTCAATCTCATTTTCACCCACGCTTTCTTGCCAGAATGTTAATAAACTATCGCGCGTGTATTAAGGTAGAAAGAAGTACTGTTTAAGAGAAGACATTGGAAAGTGATTTTAGAGCATGTTATGTCTGCTTGAAGAACGTGTTGCAATTTTGAATCGCTAGCGATTAGGTTGCTGTGGCGCAAAATGCTTCTGGCCATTAAGCTTGTTTTCGCCGACTTCTACGAGTCAGAGCCTTCCTGCGCGTTAAATTATCCTATGAGTCATTAGACTGAATTTATTACATTTCATTTTAAGAGTTAAGCAAGAAGTAGTGGCTTTTTGCAAGCTCAAGTCAGGCCATCTGTTAAATTGTATTGAATAAATAAAGTGTTCTTTATACCCTTCTTCTATCTTTCTGTTGTATTCAAAGACCTGGGGATAATTCCTCATAAAATCTTTTAGAGCTTGTTAGTTTATGCTCCTAAAGAGAACGATACAGTAATTTCTACTGAAATATTTTATTTTCAAAAACCATAATTTCCTTTAGAAAATTCAACCTTACCTAAAATAACTGTAATGAATTAAAAAATAGATCCTGATAATCTATTAACGGTGTTCTGCTGTTAACTCCACATCTAAATTAGAAGTTTTGAGCTTTCTGGTAAAAATAGTGGAGATTAGAAAATTTGAGTCCCGTTTTTGAGATAAAGTATGAGAAAAATGTGATTTTTGTAGTTACAAACATTTACTAAAAAAATTACAACTTCTGCAAGATTCGTTTGAACAGATTCATTATTGTGGCCCCAGTTTGGTTGTTGGTAATTTATATCTATTTTTTAGTTTATCTCTGACATTTCAATTTGCTTTGCATTTTGTCAAAGAACAAACTTTGTCATAGACTGAAATTCTAAACGAGTGCTATTTGAGGTTAAGTCTGAAATCAAAAGTAAGATCCTATATAATATTTGCTAAAATGTGAAAATTTGAAAGTAAAATTTGTTTACACAAAAGAGAAAACGATCATTATTCGCGAGAAAGCTTTCGTGGTTCTTAGAAATAATTGACTAAAATCAGCAATAATGTCGCGAAAATGATGGTCTTAATTAGTGACGCAGACGATGATTGCAATAATTCTTGTTTGAATGTCCGTTATGCGATATGTCCCTTTCCAAAGAATTTAAGTAATTGTAAGCAAGATCGAAAGGATGCCATACTAGGAAATAGCAAACCATACCAAACACGATCAACATTTTTCATAAGGCCTCGGTTAGTGGTACAAACTCTTTAAAGCTTTAATTCGTCATATTCCTTTAAGATTATTTTCTGTAGATACTAAACATGGTCGATGATTTCTCAAGACAACAATTTTGATTTTTGTGGTAAAAATTTCTATGCCTACATGCAACTCAAATGCTTAAAATATCCCTCTGGACTAGATATGTAATGAGCTTCTAAAGATAAACGGCAGGAAGTAGTTTCAATGCTTAAGCATTGAAAATTTAAGAAAAATCTACTAATTGAAGGTAGCCACATTTTTTGAATACTTAGAAGATGGGGTAAAAACGTGTGGCAGTGGTTGTTTGATATATGGCCAAACGGGAATGCATCTCGGCTGCAGTGAGTGCAAAGGACTACATTGTACAGAGGCCAAGAAGCCGCTGTTTTATGGGATCAGATATCATCCACTTATTGAGCCTAATAGTTTGTTCTATGAATCACCGCTTACTAAACCTTGATAAACAAGTTCGGAAATACTGAATGGATCAAGAGCGCTGTGCCAGAATAGAGCGAATATCGGAAAGAACCAAACGAGGTGTGTGATCTGGAAGATCGACTGAATCGAACCACTAACTTTCTGGATTCATTTCATTCAAACGCAGCTTTAATATTCCTTTCAAATCTCCTTTATACACAGAACTAGCAATAAAATTCTTAAATAAAAAAGTATTCAAAAAATGGGGAAATGATAAAAATGAAACTCATTTTTTAACATGGGAGGAGAAAAACTCCTTCCTCTCCTAAAGTGGTAATCCAACTTTCCTAGCCCTCTTCCCAAGAGGTCTCGAAGGAGTTCCGTTTTGTCAGTTCACTTATTCAGTAAATTTTGTCAGTTATTGCCTCAGAACGACTGAATGGCTTTTATAATTACGCAAGGAACTTCAAATGACAGATAAATGAAATAGTAAGGAAACAAAATCGAGTAATAAAATATTTGAAATGAACCAGATGAATTAGCTATATTTGTTTCCATGTTTACTTTTCGTTTAGTCACAAGGTTTTTAACACCCCTGTAAAAGCTCAATATTTCCCATAAGAGTTACTATTCTGAGGTTAATTTAATTTTAGCTGTAATTCAAGCAGAAATTGAAGTGATATTTTAGATCAATAAATTCATAGTAAAATATTTACCTGGGCACTTATAAAGCTTGTTGGTTTGGGCAATGTCTCCAGAAGAGAGACGAAGCCTTTGGCCAATCTCAACAACTTTGCCTCGAACGGGTAATATAGTATCTAGAGCCAAGCTCCTAGAAAAGGTATTTCTGGCATAATGCATGATACTCTCATAGTCATAATTTAGTCCCAGAGAATTGACTTCTTCATCTGTGAGCTTGTTGAAGTTATATTCTTGGCCTAAAATTGGATATAATTTACCAGTACATTGTCATATAAAAAGTCAGATTGTATTTAGAGTCAGTGTGAGACAATGAATATATCGGGCCAGTCCATAAGTTCGTGCGCATTAAGAGTATGTGTGGAATTCACTATGACGCATTTACTAACAATAACTAAAACAATACAATTTTGAACCTGTCGAAACTTGTCATCGTTTGACTAACATATTATTCAATTCATCACCAACTTTCGTAAATATCGAACGCATTTTAGTACCCATAGAATATTAACATAGATAATCAGTATAAATGTGCTGTGCTACATTTTTTTATTTTCGTGTGGTGAATCTGCTAGGTTTGCAGCGATAAAAAAATAGTAGTGTACCTGGTGAACACACTATTAGTGTAAAGATAGTGTCCAGAAATGGTTTAAAAATTTTAAAGTTGGAAAAAGCAACATTCATGATGAACCCCGTTAAAAACGTTTTGAACTGTTAGAATCTGAAATCATTCAGAAGTTTATAATGAACAACTTTGCCGTCTAAACTCGGAATGAATCAAAAAACGCCCACGATGGGTGAATATCAAGAAAGCGTTGTTTCATCATTATAACGCTAGAGCCATACGGCTCGAACAACGCCGCAAAAAATGAGTGAATTTAGTTGGGAGCTTTTACCACATCCTGCTTACTCCCCAGATATTGCCCCAAGTGATTTGCACTTATTTCGCGCTTTACAAAATATTTTACTGGGAAAAAATTAAATTCTAAACAGGATGTACACAATGAAATTTCAAGATTTTTGCATCAAAACCAGAGTCTTTCTACAGCAATGGCATAAAAAAGGCTGCCTGTAAGATGGCGAGACATTTTAGATAATGGAGGCAAATGTATAATTGATTAAAATATTAAATTGTGTTTTTTTATATTATTTAAAAATTTACCAAAAGATGCGCATGAATTTATGAACTGACCCAATATCTTGCATAAAAATATTAGTAACATCTGATCAATGCAAAATTTAAATATATGATGCTACAGATTTGTCGCAAATTACTATTGCATTTGGCTGATGACTAAATAATAAATTAATGTAAGTAAGTTATCAAGTTGCGTGAGTCAGGTTTTCGATTTATGTGTTTAATTTTTAAACATTTCATTATGTATTATATCCCTTTTGTCGCATTTACAACATACTCAGAATTTCTCGTTATTGTTCTTCAATATGTCTCGCGTTATTTAAACTCAAAAACGTCACGCAATTTATTTGAACGTAACAAATCCCCGTACAAAGAAATCTAAGTATGCGAACTATTTTTCCTGCAAGTTTGTTTTCCTGATATATATGCAATATATTCGAAATTTACACTTTGATAGAAAACTTCACGTACAGCACATTGGAATATGAGCTTCATTATGAGACTAAATGTGTAGCATAATTAAACCTGCCTTCATGTTAAACTTCTGAGGTATGTAACTGAAAATGTGACCTCATTACATCAAAATTATGAATGAGAATGTAATCTCTAGTGTTTTTAAAATTACATTTTTCATGATTGTGTATGAACTTTCACTAATTGACATAAATCCTGAATAACTTCAAGTTTCTTGAGTAACTCCAAGTTTCTTGAGAATACCAGCGAGATGAAGAAATTATTGCATAGGATTAAGTATCTTATCAATTTAAATTGAGATCATGAGGTTTAGTTTGTAGATTCGCAGGAACTACTTAAGGGGGCTTATACACCTAAAACCTCTTATGAGCTTCAAATTATGTAACTATTGCAAGAATTGAGACATTTTATTTATTTTAAAAGTAATAACCTCCAACGTTTTACAACTGACTACATAATATAGCTACTTTGGAAACTAGTAACCAGAAAGTTTGTGTTGCCACAAATATTTTTGTAATTTAATCCGCTTTGTGACAACATTTTTCGTCATTTTTCCACCTCCCGCGCACAATATTTTAAAAATGGCTAATGGTACATACTTGAAATTGGATGGAATTCTTTATATGGGCACTATTTTCTAACTGAACCAAAAATCTGATGAATTTTTTAATATAAAAAAATTTTATGCACGAAAACATTACAGATTTTTTTTTAATAAAATACATTTTATATCCTCAACTCCAAATAAAATAAAACTTTAACATGAAATTTTCAGTTTTTTGGTTTACAGTAGTTTCCAAGTGTGATAAAAGGTATATATAAACTAAGGAATTAAATAATGCAACAGATAATTTTAAACTGTGCGCGCAAGGTGGATCATGACGAAAATTTTTGTCACAAGGCAGATTAAATTATAAAAGTATTTGTGGCAACACAAAATTTCTCATTATGATTTCAGAAAGCAGCTATATTATGTAGTCAGCCATAAAAAGTTGGAAATAATTGCTTTTAAAATAAATAAGTTACTCAATTCTTGCAACAGTCACATATTCGAAGATCATAAGGGGTTTAAGGTGAATGAGCCCTCTTAATAGTTTGTTTTGTATTGAATCCTGTGTAACTGAATTCAAATAGTAGTTTTAGGATTATTAAAAACTCAACTATTTTTATTGTTGTTTCTGAGTTTCATTAAACTCTTTCTTGTTATGACTATTTACACATGAGCTGTATCTATTGTATTGTGAAATATCAACTGGAATATTTGGTGGATGATACCATAAGCAACGCAACGGCATGCAAGCATGAGAGATGTGGTAGAAACAAAGATTGACAATATTAATGATTCAAATATTCTTTTCCGGGCGTCAAGTTGAATGATACGCTATTTAGTTTGGGCTTGTATTCCGGATAAGACACGTATGCTTTAGTTTGCAGTCTACTTACAAAGTGAGATTTTCTGTGGATTCAAACAAAGCGGATTGAACCTTCCAAGTGTATTCGAAAGTCTTCTTTGGAGGTTACTGGTATGGGAAGACGGGAAGCACACCGCTATAAGATTCCATTCTTTTGAATTTTCTCTATTAGTGTTATGATAGAAAGCCAAAAGCCTTCGTATGAGTCGTCTGAATTAAAGAATCTCTAATTAATTAGCTACTTTTCGAAATTCGAAATCATTTTGTTATGAAATTAAATACTGCAGACAGCAATTAACCGTTTATTTAGCCATAACAAGAAGAACATTATGCAAATTTGAACCTCTAGTTTTGTGGGTAAATATTTAAAATTTATCTTCTGTTCCCATTCTGATGTTTATGATTTTTCGATTGCAATTATAAATGATGCATTAACTGAAAGCAATGTATTTAAAAGTAGAAAAATACAGTAAGTGTTGTATAAATATTGCAGAAATGACAAGTTCCCACATGAAAACTTTTTTAGGGTTTAAGCGTAGTTAGAATAGTTTAATAATGCCGCTGTTAAGTATACCAATCACGAGTTGAATAATTAAAGACATTTTAAAAACATTAATATATTAAAGACGCAAATCGTACCAGCAACAATGTTTCTAGATATGATTTGCACGTGCTTGTCTCTGTCTGGTCGCGTATGTTCGTGCCAGAATCCCACCACGTGACCCAGTTCGTGAACAACAATTCCAAATTTATCGCAGTTTTTACCGATGGATATAGCTTGGGCTCCGTTGCCTCTTCGACCCACGAAAGAACAGCAACTAGAATGAAACAAAGAAATGCAAAAGATACAAAATATAACAATCAACGGCACTTTAAAATTCCTAATAGCTAAAGCAGAATGGAACTTTTAGTATCTGATAGAAGAAACATCAACTTCTCTTTCCGTGAGGCAATTTCAAGACCTAAATTATGTCATTAAATATAGTTATCTAAATTATTTTATCTTGCTAAGAGCCTTCAGTGTTATATAACAGGGCTAAGTGTGAAAATAAAAATTCATATTGATCATATGTAAGCTGATAAATCAAATTATGGTAATATTTTGAATACGGTTCTGCTTTCTAAACAACAATTCACAAATTTCTAAACAACAATATTTAGGCCTTACTTTAAGCCTAAAAGATTTGCAGAGTCATTTAGAACTCTTTGGTGTGAGGAAACTGAAGAAAACCGCAGTGTACTGGCTGGGATTCGAAGCCCGGACCTCCCGAATACCCTTTGAGTATGCTTCCTGTTACACCACGATGGCATACAGAAAGTAGAGAGAAAATACCTTATATGGCTCTCTTTTAATAATAACGACTGAGGATAAAGGGAGCTTACCGCCAAATCCTGGTAATACGAACTTTTAAGTCTAACACCTTATCAGTTCGGACGTCACTTGTAGAGTCCTTTTAGAATTTTTCGCAGCCAGAAAACTAAAGAAATCTGCAATGCACACGCCAGGATTCGAACTAAAGACCATCCGAATACGGGTCTAGCGTGCTTCCTATTATACCACGAACGCAGTGTGGAAAGAGAAAGAAAATGCATAAAATTTAAAATGAACAAACTAAAAGCTACTGAATAAAGCTAAAATTAAATTATCCATTATATTACAAAAGAATATGCGTTGTTTTATATTACACATGTCTTTTACAGTGCTAGTTTTCTTCAAAGCTTCGTTCCTTCGGTGTTTTAAAATCACAGGTTGTCTAAGACGAGTGTCGTTGCTAGGCAACCAGATCTTACTATGTCAGAGAAACTGGTTTAAGGACTTTGCCTAAATGTTCGAACTTTTCATCGTTATGCAACTTGGTATAAGAGATGACCAATCATGGTTAATCAAGCATCAGTAGACGGTTTCGCTGGCGCCCGGGGCATCATACACCCCCTTGCCCCCCCCTCGCTACGCCGCTGAGTCTTACTAACTTTCACGTTTTTCTATGTCAGTTGAATTGTGTTATGCATGTAAAAAGATGGATTGAAATTTTTAAGGCTGCTTATATTTCTCTTCCTCTATATTAGACATCACAATCTGCTACTTAGTTAAGATGATATACCTTGCAGCGCAACAAGGCCTGCCACAAAACTGCAATGTAGATTAAGATACAGAACATTGTGGAGTGAAATACTAATGAAAAACCGTAAGGAGTAACAGAAAATCGTCTGCTGTGATATAAATAAATCGAAGAGTGTATTAGATTATTTTCAAAGATTAATGCTATTTTTAATTACTGGTTACATTGTAGAGAAATTTTGCTCTTGACCTGAACACGACCAAATAAGAATTCCCAATCAACAGCGCCACCTGGATGCAGATTATTTTAAATTGCTCAGATACCGATAATGCGTTCTTTCAAAGCCTCCGACTTAATGCAGCGGAATATATTTAGTGAAAACAAAAAGAGAACTTGAAAATTCCGTTCAGGACACACAGAATCGATTAAGTGGATGTCTGGAATCGATGCTGGAAGAATGGAATTTCAAAAGCGCCGCTCCGGAAGTGGACACTTGAGCCCAAACAGAAGAATCGATTCTGCATATCCGCTTCCGATCTAGAATTTTAATGAATGTTTCGCTACTCATCTGGGATTTAACGCGCTCGGTTATAAATCCTGGAAAGTGCACAGCCAGCTGAAACTATTTATTTGTGTTCTCTTAACTGGCTGATCCTTGCTAAGGCATAGTTACAAAAGGCTTTTAGTATAGGGTTTAAAACTTTTGTTTCCACAGCAGATGAGATGAGTACAATGAAATTTGATGTACGGAATATTGAATCTCTTTTTTTAAAATGTAAGAAACTATACTGCTAAATATTTGAGTTCAGAAATAAAGTATTTATCTACAACATAACTCACATAGAAAAATCAAGAGTCACTTCTAAAAAAGTTAAAGTTAAGAGTACATAGAATATTTGAATGTGAATGATGCATAAAATACAATATTCGGATTTTAAAACCCTGTTCTTTTTTCCCAAGGCCTTTGGGTGCACTTTTTTTTCTTTTTTCGTCCAAAGGGGTTTTGTCCCTGAGGGACTATTGTTTTCGTTTTGGCATTTTGCGTTGAAATTTTTAAAAAACTGTATCAATTTTCAAATTATTGCCACTAAATATTATCGCCCTGTATTATATTTGAAGAAATTAAATAATGAAGAATCTGCACAAATTTATGTATTTTAAGAAAACGTTACTTTATCGACATAATTTTTTTAAGGATCTGGCATATTATTTTATAGTGCAAGACCCATTTTGAATTATTATAAGTAAGTAAAATTGAGTAAAAGAATATAGTGATTTATATCAAAGGACTTCTTTCAATACTTTCAACATTTCGTATTTTTCCTGACACTTTGTTACTTTTTTCAATACTCTGTCCAATGATCTGTGCTAAAATAGTGAATCATTTAAATCTTACTTAACGTTTTCTTTAATAAGCATTTATAAAGGATTTAAGTCACGTTGTCAGGACTTGAGTTTCTCTTGATTTGCTTTGGAAACATGGAATGCCTTGAATAAGAACAGGGAGCTTACTCAAGCTATGTTCAAGATTTGTGTATAATAGACGACACACGCAGGAAGGGTATACGAAACCCTTTATTTTCAATACTTTACAGGCACTTCCGAACTTCGGAATACAGAGACCAACCACTTGTGGTCTGAACGTAAGAATATAAAACTACTAACTAAAACGCTAACTAAAAGCTAACTTTGAACTAGTATGCAAATGCCTAGCACTAAGACTGGCCTTTATTTAAAAATGGTACGTATGTAGTACGCCGAGCTGCTGAAACTACAATACTGTTGCGTGCGTACGGGTTCGTTATGAAATGAATGCACAAGTCCGATGAAAAATGAAAAAAAAATTATTATTTTCACAACAAATATGATTAAATTTCCTCAAATTATCGTGCAGTATTACAATATTTCACAGTAGTTATCTTTTAACTACTCAAATGTCCAATAGAACGTAATTTAAAGCAGCTAAAGAACGCTAATCCGCGAATTCGCTACAATCAACAAGAGCAGTTTTCTAAACAACAACAAACTAAGCAGCAACTACGAACTGAGATGTTTTCCTCCTTTTATAAGATTTTAAAATCACGCTCTAGAATTTTTTGTACTTTCTCGAAATCAAAAAGAGATATTTATTTATTTAATGCACGCGCTCTTGTATTTTCAATTTTCCGGCTTAGCTTTCTTTTAATCTTCGTCACGCGCTGCACTGCGCGAGAAATAAAACCATTGAATTTATAATTGAAATAACATTAGCTTTTCAAATACCAAATTCGTAACAATACGTTTGCAGATATTAAGAGGGCTAAACCTCTGGTCTTAAAGGCAACCAGCAACCGAGTGAAAACTTGTAAAGCTGCAGTGGCAAGCGGCTTGCTTTCTAAATCTCCTTCTTTCTTCCTAACTCTTGACAAAAAGCCACAACTTAAATACTTGCGCGTTAGCAAGACAATTTGCATAAACAGGTTAAAGCATTTAATTCTGGCCGGAAGTACAAAATAAGAAGTGATAGCACAGTTTTAAAATAAAATAAACGTTAGTAAAACTTAGTATCCTTACAACGTGAGTAATTCGGAATGAATTCGAATAATTTTAACGGAGAGAGAAAAACATCAGTTATATTTTGGCTACAAAAACAACAAACGTTTTTGTTATTATCATAAACTTGAATGCACTCAAGCTAAGTAACCCTTTCACAGAAGAATAAAATACAGATATACGTTAGAATGCGTTTATATTATTCAGTTATATTTTATCTTTATTATAATCAGCTATATTTTGGTTTAAAATGTCTTATAAAACTTAATAAAAATCTTAAATAAAAGTCTATGTCTAATATTCAGACATTCTTCTCAAAGCATATAAAATTCTTTTATTCGATTCTGAAACGGTTATACATGTAAACGACCTCATATTATTTGAGAACATTGTCAAAATGGTACATTGTTTGGCAGCTACGAGATCTGATTCAAAGAATTAGCTCACTCAATATCGTCTGAAAAACCAGATCAGATTAATTGCAATGGATATTAATGGATTTTTAAAAGAATCCAATCAACGAGTTTGAATATAACAGCTTTCATAATGGTTTATGAAAAAATTGGGGACCACATCATTTGATTCATTACTCCTTCTCATTCAGCGGAACCCTAATATCGACAATTCTTAATGAGCTTAAAGAAAATGAAAAGGGAAAATTGAATGTTAACAGAGACCAACCATTAGTTGTTGTACTTTGTGGTTTAAACAGGAAATGGGTATGACTCACCCACATGCCCTTTCTGTGAAGACGATATAATCGGGATGTTGAGAGGGAGATCGCTCAACAAATTGTACACAGGTTTCATTTTCCCAATACCTCATGGCTTGCTTGAACAGTGCTCTGTGTTCGCCTGGAGAAAGACAATGATATTCGTATTTCAAGTAGCGAAAGATAACAACAGAAAATAGAAATAGTCTCAAACATACATAAATCAGAAATTCAAGAACTATGATTCAAAAATTAATCAAACTATTATTTTGCAATACTCTTTCACGTCTTTCTACAGCGACTGTTAAAAAGTTTCTCAGTGAGATAAACTTCTCAACAGTGTTGAATGAACTTCCCCATGCAAACTGAACTAATTCGCCTTTTACGAATTGTTATCAAAGTTTATCAAGTAAAATAATTACATTTCATATTTAAAAACAATCGCATTCGGCATTAAACATAAATAGTGATTAAGTATAAATAAAAAAAATCGTTTTGCAGAATGTTATAGGAATTTAAGACAAAGAAAACAAGTAAGTTTTTGAGTTTTATCATTTGCGAAACAGAATACAAGTTCATTTTTAACTGAAATTACGTCAGAACTTACTTTAGGCTTTCTTTAGAAAAAATCACTTTTGTGTGTGATCATCTATTCCTTATCCGACTTTCTAAACACTACCAATAGCGCTGATGCTAACCTCGAATATAGCCAATTGTTCATTCATAATTTTTGTAAATTCAGTTTTTACCACACTGATTATTGGCTTTTGGCGAGACAACAGAATTTTTTTAAGAAGTAAAAATTAGCATTTCTTGCATTCGATTTGACTTTGCGAATAATGTCATTTTAAGAAAACGTTACTTTATCGACAGAATTTTTTTAAGGATCTGGGATACTATTTTATAGTGCAAGAGCGCTATTCACATATTTTGTGCTATTATAAGTGAGTAAATTTACGTAAAAGAATATAGTGATTCATATTAAAGGACTTCTTTCAATACTTCCAACATTTCGTATTTTTTCCCAACACTTTGGTACTTTTTCAATACTATGTGCAATGACCTGTGCTAAAATAGTGAATCATTTAAATCATACTTCACGTTTTCTGTAATAAGCATTTATAAAGGATTTAATTCACGCGAGTAATTCGGAATGAATTCGAATGATTTTAACGGAGAGAGAAAAACATCAGTTATATTTTGACTGCAAAAAAAACAAACGTTTTTGTTTTTGTAGTGTAAATTAAGTGTAGAAAATCTAAGTGTTTAATGTAAATTAAGTGTAAAAAAATCTAGTTTTTTTTTTAAATGTTAGACTAAAATCAACAATTTTTATGCGAGCTATCTGCAATCAGAGGGAAAATATTTTTGAAACATGTTTTGAAATTAAGTCACAGAAAAGAACAAAATGTTGCACTATTCATACTGAATTTTTCGCAAAATTCGACATATTTCACATTCATACGAAATATGTCCTGGATGTCTTGAAAGTTTGAAAAACGGACTCATACCTTTTTAGAATAAACTTAAAAATTTAATTATCATTTTTAATTAATAACTAATTCCAAAAAGATAAAGCATTAAAACAGAAGGATTTAAATTTTATAACAAAAAAAGCCATTTTAAGTAAAGCGTTAAAAATTTTATGCAGTGAACAAATTTTCTTACAACGGTTGACAATCGAAGTGATAGGGATTTCTTCGTTCTCCAATACAAGATAAGAATATTTGGCTTTCAATTTTATTGTCTACTGAAATTATTCAATTTCTAATTTTTTTAAAGAAGTAGAAAATAGCTCCTTCTTGAATTTTACAGAACTTCTCCTATATTATGTAAGTAACAGATTAATCTTAAACTAGTAGATCTGTGAAGTTGATGGCGAAACCACTCTTGAAATGCTTTCTTTTACTTATAGTTAGTATCTAAACACGTATAAAAAATTCCTGCTTTTAATCAGAAGATAAGAAATTTTATATGCACTTAAATTGCCTAATCGGAAGTTAACAGTACTTTCAATGTTTTTAATAGAGGTTGAAATAATTTTAACAAAAATTACTAGATAAAATATTTACTAAAATGCAATGAAACCACGAAAAACTTTTCCTCAAATGAATAGAGCATTTCGTGTATTTGCAGTATATTTACAATACATGCGATTCGTAGAATGAAAAATAGTTCAGTTTTAAAACAAACGCCTGATTGCTCCAAATTAGTTAACAACCACACAGTGTATAGTGTATTTCTCCCGCCTTCTTGGCATTCGTGGTGTGGTGGTCTGCACGTTGGGCGCGTATTTCAGAGGTCCGTAATTCGATTCCCGGCGACGGCGTTGCTAATTTTTAGTCTTTCATGCTTTCAAAAAGTCCTAATGTCCCTACAAGTGGCGCCCGAACTAAAAGGGTGGTGGATGATGATTCTCCTGATCCAGGATTTGGCGACTGGTTCCCCCAAGAAACCCCAGCCGCCCTTTAAAAGTGGGAGTATATAAGGTATTTCTCCAGTCTTCTTGGCATGCCTTCGTGGTGTGGGGGTCTGCTCGCTGGGCGCGTATTCCAATGGTCCGTGGTTCGTTTCTCGGAGAAGGCGTTGCATATTTTTCATCTTTCCTGCTTCCAAAATACCTGATGTCTCTACAAGTGTACTTTCAATACTACTATAGCTTCTCGTATACTTTGGTATCATAAACTAAGCTAGATGTTAGAAGACTTCGGAAATTATCCCTAAATCCTAAAGTACGACACAGTCAGCAGATGGATATAAAGAACCGTTTATTAACTCAAATGGCTCTCAACCAAATGTTCTCAACCCAAATGGCTCTCAACTCAAGCTTACAAAAACTAATACTGTTTGTTGGCTTAGCTCAAAAAAGGTAATGACTCACTTAAAATTAGATGAAATTTAATTTAGCTAATGGCTTCCCAGGTTAACTAACGCGCAGGCTGACTCTGGCTCGTAAAACTCGGCGTAAACAATAGTAAAGGCAAAATGCGCTCAACGTTACAGAAATCTAATTGCTAGAGAAATTAAGATAGCAACGTGGCTTTCATACAGGCAGAACACGCTCTGAATGCACCTTCCAAAAAGTTTTCTTCAAATACTAACGTCTTGCTATGTCATTTGAATACTCGCGCTCTAGATCATTTACATTCTGGCAAGAAAGCGTAAGTTGAAAGCAAGAGCGGTAGGAAAGGCTCCTTCAAAATAAAATAGCTGTTGATAAATTAAATAAATCGCTACACTACATTTATTTTGTTGCTTGCATAGACATTAATCGTAACGTTACTTCTATTACTGATTCGAAATGGGAATAAGTCGAAATAAAAATGCTTATTAACCTAAAAGTAATTGTTTTTTTTTTTTTTTTTTTTTTTTTTTTTTCGGAATCATTTTTAGATAATTATAAGCTATGCACTTCAAGGAAATTGCTCCAAATCACCTTGCATTAAGACATTAAGCTCACTGAACAATCTGTTTTGATATATGAAGAGATGAATACTGTTTGTGATTAAATTATGCGTATGGAAAGCAAACTGTAATCATCTCTTGCTCATTAATACGCGATGAGAATAAGCTTACCACTAAAATTGGCTTCTATTTCATAAGGGATGACAGCATGAGGCCAGAGTCTATCCGTCCTAGCTGTCGCTGCTCGACCATGCCGACGTCGAAAATGTCTCCCACGAACATCTTTTCTGTTAAAAAAATTCAATCATCTTTAAAAAGTAACAAATTGTATTAACTGAATTTCTAAATAAGACTGAACAATATGCCTTAAAACTACATACTTTAACATATATTTTAAATTTTAAACACAGGAAGTGTTCAACTGGACCACATGTGATACCATAACTTCGTACGTAAATAAAATAATGCTTCATTAAAATGTAATCGTGATTATTTTCTAAAGATTTAGAGTAATACCTTAAAGAATATTTAACATTTTGAGAGTAGGAAAATTGCAAAAATTATTTCTTACTAGCTGGGTTACTCGGCTTTGCTCAGGGAGTTAATATGAGATTGTGCGGTAGTTGAAATAAAAAGATAAACTTTAAAATATAAGTAGTATTTTTTTATTGAAAACATATTCTAACTATTTGCAGCACTTGTTTATAAAAAACATTTTCATTTTGCTATCCGGAGTATTATACCTACAAATGTTTCGAATTCCCTACTTCAGAGCAGGCTACGTACAGCTGACCATAAGAAAAGAAGTCTTTGAGGTTGATGCCGCAATGCCCTTGCGTTTGTTAATTGTAAAACTATAGTCTAATTTGATTGGCCATTGCAGTCTTTTAAATTCGAATGGCAGTTGGGTAGATATCAGTGGTATTCTGGGGATAAATACTGCGTGTCCTTTGTCCTTTTCCAATCTTCAGTTCGGCTTCAATGACATTATTCGATAGCTGTTTGACGACCATCCTTGCTCCATTACATTCTTAAGTGAGTTGAGATTTCTGAGTAGTATCATCGGAGATCCAATTTTCAGTCGAAAGCAGATTAATGGCATTCCTGGTACTTGAAAAGAGTTTAAAAATTCTGTAGGGAAGTTACCACTTTCTTCAACGTTTACCATCATGTCTATAGATTTGCATATTCTCTCTTCACCGGGAATTTTCTTTTGAATATTAAAGTTGATATCGTCGACAATATTATTTTTAGTTGCCAAAATTGCTTTTTCAAATAGCCATGTTCATATAAACATTGCATTAGAATGGATACCTGAATGCTGGGGATACGTTACAATCTATGAAACTGGTGTAAGCACATCTTACAAGAATTTTCTCTGAAATGTTACTGTTTTAACTTTGACGATAACATTCTAAAATCCAGATAATGAAGAGAAGTTTTTAAGTCTCTTACACAGCGTAATTTCAAAAATTGTAATTTTTAGCAATTATTATAATCTTTATCGTATTTTTAGCAATTATTATAATCTTTTCAAAAAAAATTTTGAATTATAACCTAAAACGTTTTTGCCATCACCTTAAAGTAGATATTTTTCTAGGCATTCGCACAAAAAATGAGAGTTCTTTATTCAAAATTTTCCAAGATATACGTTAAATTATATATTGGCGGGTTTCAAAATTTGGCGAGTTGTTATAAGCGATAATAACGTCAAATATAGTTTACTCACTTTCTTAAAATTATTTGAAAGAATGAAAGATGTACCTTTTTTCCCGTTGTATGCAGTGAAAAGGAAAGAAAAATAGGCTACCGTAAATTAGGAGTTTCGCCAAGTGAATTATTTTGGCGCAAACTTAAAAGAGAGTGCCAAGATAAATTTTTGAATTTCTCACCAAGTTTTACAGAATTTACCACCAAATTTTTAGGTTTAGTTTCGTTTTGATGACTGAACGACTGAATTTCTGAATGACTGTAATACTTTACGCATTAAAATACTGCAATTACACAAAAATAACAATACATGGAGTACTTGAATGAAAAGAAACCTAAGAGAGATATAAAACGTAATGTAAATAAAAAGGAAAATGAAAATTGTTTTGGCAAGTCCCTATTTTGAATCACAATTTTAGTTCTTTACGTGATAAATTACTTCTATAAAAAACAAAAACAAACAAAATAGTTTTTTTTAATCATATTATATGAATAGCCCAAATTTAATTAATTAGCGTGAGTTGGCACAAAACATTTCATCATCGTGTTATTGGTTAAGGAATTTTGGCTTGATTCGATCAGATTAATCACTGCAGAGAATGAAGCAATATTGCTTAGTAACAATCAGTGTACGAAGTGATTGATTAGTATTTAAAGTAATAACTTTTCAAACAATTCGCATTACTAACAATAATGTAATACTATTTATCATCAGCATTCTTAGTTAAAACAGTTTTACGCACAGCTTGTACAATAAATAAATAAATATAAATAAAAAGGCAGTTCTGCATCTCCCGTCCTACTGGGCCGATTTATGAAATTTAATTTGCTTTTTTTCGTGTCTCGAAAGCGTGAATTGGGATATATATTAGATTTACATTTAGCATTATTCTAACAAAAGTACTCGTATTTTGACAAAAAAATCAGACTTTTTCTGAAATGACATAACGAATTTTTTCCATATTTCGATTCTATGACTGAAATTAAGCCTAAACATTTGGTGGTAAATTCTGTAAAATTTGGTGAGAAATTCAAAAATTTATCATGGCACTCTCTTTTAAGTTTGCGCCAAAAAAAAAATTCACTTGGCGAAACTCCTAATTTAAGGTAACCTATTTTTCTTTCCTTTTCACTGCATACAACGGAAAAAAAGATGCATCTTTCATTCTTTCAAATACTTTTTACAAAGTGCGTAAACTATATTTGACCTTATTATAGCTTATAACAACACGCCAAATTTTAAAACCCGCCAATATATAATTTGACATATATCTTGGAAAATTTTGAATAAATTTTGCAAGAGTGCCTAGAAACATATCTACTTTAAGGGGGTGGCGAAAACGTTTTAGGTTATAATACAAAATTCTTTTCGAAAAGTTTATAATAATTGCTAAAAAATACAAACTTTAAAAATAAATCAGAAAATATCTGCGAATTTTATTTGCATTGAACTAAAATTCGAATTGTGAAACAAGGAAATTCTTTTCGAAAAGTTTATAATAATTGCTAAAAAATACAAACTTTAAAAATAAATCAGAAAATATCTGCGAATTTTATTTGCATTGAACTAAAATTCGAATTGTGAAACAAGGAAACAATTGAGTAATATAATTAATAAAAAAAGTACATTAATAAACATATAACACATTCAATTAATACTGAAGAGCGAAAATTTTGAGAGCTAATTTTTTTTTAAATCCACTTATGCGGTTTTTACAGAAACGAGGTACTTTGACATAATTTGATTCGCAAAATTGAAATATTGGAAAAAATCGATATGTCATCTCAGAAAAAATCCGATTATGTGTCAAAATGTAATACATAGCCTAAGTTGCAATTTCGAGAAAAGAAAAATTAAATTAAATTTCGTCTGTCGGCCTAGTAAAACGGGAGATACAAGAACAGTCCAAGTTTTGTTTTCTTTTTCAAAGTGTATCTTCCATAAGGATTTGCAGTTTTATGGACCGTCAACGACGCCTCAATTACACTAGATCACACTGCTATCATTCATACGATTTTTAACCTTTTGATATTGTATGTTTGACAAGCCATGGGGAAGATAAACTGCACGGTAATTTGCTTCGCAAATGACCTAACAAACAGCTCATTTCAGAACGCTGCATCTGAGATTCTGTATGATCTTTACTTTATCTTTGAGAATATAACTATAGTCGCTTACGAACAGGAAGATTTCAAAGCAATACACATGCTTTATTTTTTTTTCTGTTAATAATGAATCTAACTGATTGAATTTAAAATATATACAATGCGTAATTTTATGAACATTTAGAACATCTTTGTAATAAAAATATTTTTAAAGCCATATATAATACGTATAACTTAAACCTTAATACAGAATGAGCTTTTATATTTATGGGGTCAGTCCATAAGTTCGTGCGCATCAACAGTATGCGTGGAATTCACTATGACGCATTTACTAAAACAGTACAATTTTGAACCTGTTGAAACTTGACATCATTTGACTAACATAGTATTCAGTTCATCACCAACTTTCGTAAGTATCGAACGCATTTTAGTACCCATAGAAGATGAATATAGATAATCAGTACAAACGTGCTGTGCTGCATTTTAATTTTCCTGTGGTGAATCTGCCAAGTTTGCAGCGATAAAAATTAATAGTGTACATGGTGAACACATTATTAGTGTAAGGAATGCCCTGAAATGGTTTGAAAATTTTAAGTTGGAAAAAGCAGCATGGATGATGAACCCCGTTCGGGACGTTTTGAACTGTTAGAACACAATCAAACGATTCATTCAGAAGTTTATAGTGAACAATTTTTCCGTCTAAACTTCAGAATTGGATCAAAAAACGACGCCCCCCCCCTCGATCGGTGAATATCAAGAAAGTGTTGTTTCATCGTGATAACGCTAGACCGCATACGTCTCGAGCAACGCTGCAAAAAATGAGTGAATTTAATTGGGAGCTTTTACCACATCCTACTTACTCCCCAGATATTGCCCCCAGTGTTTTCACTTATTTCTTGCCTTACAAAATTTTTTACTGGGAAAAAAATTAAATTCTAAAGAGAATGTACACAATGAAATTTCAATTTTTTTTTTTTTTTTTTTACATGGAAACCCGAGTCTTTCTACAGCAATGGCATAAAAAAGCTGCCTGTAATATGGCAAAGCATTGTAGTTAATGAAGGAAAATATATAATTGATTAAAATGTTTAACTGTGTTTTTTATATTATTTAAATATTTACGAAAAAATGGGCACGGATTTCTGGACTGACCCAATACATTACTAATATTTTGAATAACGCATTCCTTACGTACCTGCGATGTCTGTTGGATGGATTATGTAGATGATGAGACGCAATAGAATCTGGATGAGGAATTCGATCAACGATGATATCACCTTCAAACAGCTCTAAATAAAAATGTTCAACACTATAATGAATGATTCATGTACTAACAAACGTTATTTTGTGTGTAATAAATACTACAAACAAGTTCGGTTAACACTTAAAATGAAACACTTTTTTAGTTTACAAAAAGAAAGGCCTTTAGCTCTTAATCAGTCGCTCTTCTTTATTTGCACTCCTGTTTGCATCTTCTCATTCACTGTATGTTATCTGTGAGATTTTTACTGCTACAGTTTTGTATCAGTTTTGGGAGGAGGGGAGTTTGAGGTACTTTTTCCTGCTATGTAATCGAATTATGTTACTTATTTATTTTTCCTAGACCGTACTGTCTCAATTTAATTCATATCTGTTTGTGTCTTTATGTAAGTATCGTATCTTCTCTGTAAAAAGTGTTACCTACTAGGTTTATAATATGCTTGGCTGTCCTGGATAGACCCATTTTTGATCATACGGCCGGCTTTTGCCGTCTAGGAGGATTGGGCTATGACCTTATAATAATAATAATAATAATATGCTTGGCTTATTCACCCTAAGTTTGCCAAGTGAATTATTCTTGGCGCAAACTGAAAAAATTATGCCAAGATATATTTTTGAATTTCTCCATAAATTTCGCACCAAATTTTGTAAAATTTAATATCTAGACATAATTTGAGACGTAGAATCGAAATATGGAAAACAAATTGGTATGTTATTTCAGAAAAAGTCCGATTTTGTGTCAAAATACCTATCTTAGAATGATGCTATATATAAATCTAATATATATCCTTAGTCGCGCTTTCGAGACATGGAAAACGCAGTTTGAATTTTGTCAATCGGCCCAGTAGAACGAGAGATATAGAACTGTCCCTTTTTTCGTAGTGTACGTGCCTTTTAATTTCTGCAGGAAATAGTCTTTTCACAGCTACAATTTTCTGAAACAGACTCCCCAAACCGAAGAGAAAGAGGATACCCTTCCCATCCTCCAAGAGTCTAAATATGCAAGAAAAAGAAAGCGTCTAGTTTTTGGGTAAAAAATAAATTTAAGAGTTCTGTATCCGATAACAAAAATATGACCACCAAGAGAGAGAAAGATTTCCTGGAAAAGGAAGCAATACTCAATTCAGCTGTATACAATGCAACACTGAAACCCTTACGAGCTGCCACCAAAGACGTCTTCATCTTTCAATGCTGTTAATGTTTGTTATTATCACATAATAATAATCACTCAAGCAGGTTTGCTTCAGTTGAATTATTTTAGCAGTTATTTTTTCAATTATGTTTGCAAAACTTCCACTTCGACTCGATTATTGCAGAATTTTCGATGGAAGAGCATTTGGTATATACTCCTGAGCCAGCATCAAATTGCTTCTCCCTCCAAGCCATCTCTAAAGGAATACTTTTCAGGGCGCAGAATTTTGAGTACTGTGTACATCAGTAGAGCAGTGTGGCTCAATGTTCGAGATACAACGAAATTCAGATATTAATCGTTAATGAGTTTCCAAATTTGCATTAAATTATCGTAAGAGAAATGCAGAATGGAAGGTTAGTTAACGCTCTGGACACCATTAGCTTTTCCGGGCAAGAAAACACGAACCGCGTGAATTTACCACTTGTTAGCTGGTCACTTACGCTACGAAAATACATACGAGGGAATGCACTAATTTTTTACGCTTTCTCCCCTCCTTAAATAGCGACAGAGAAGAGATATGAGCTTCTGACGACTAATACCACGCGGTAACGATTCATCGTCCACTGCATTTTAGTTCAGTCACAACTGTACAGACAAATAGGCATTTTAAGAAACATGAGAAATGAATAATGACCTCCCCAGTAACTTGAAGCACCGATTTTCTAACGTTTTTCTATACGTGGTAACCAATTACAATATGAGAACACGCACAGGGAAAGGAGATAATTCCTTATAACATGTCATCAGAGTTCAAAGAGATAACTTGCGCTTTTTTGTACAACTTTATCTGCACATAGTCTAGCATTTTAGAGCAAAGTTTATGAATTTAGGAAACAAAATGCAACATTTATGTCGGCAAAAGTCGAGAGTTTCATTTTTTTCATTCAGTCTTACATTACGACTGCCATCTTAAGTTATATGTCATAGTATTAAATGTTGAATTTTAAATAAAGAAGAAAATTTATATTGAAAGAAATTAAAACTACAAATAAATAAAAAAATGTTCCTTCAATAAATATTCTTAATGGAATGGTGTAGCGTTCTGCAGCTTTAGAAAAACTTCCCAGGTAATCGAAGAGATTAGATTGGAGACAATGAAACGCTTCTTTAGTTTACACACACACACACAAAAAAAAAAAAAAAAAAAAAAAAAAAAAAAAAAAAAAAAAAAAAAAAAAAAAAAAAGAAAAGAAAAAAAGAAAGAAAGAAAGCTCTTATTTTAAGCTTTAGCTCTTAATCAGTCGCTCTTCTTTATTTGCACTCCTATTTGCCTCTTTTCATTCATTGTATGTTATCTGTGAGATTTTTACTGCTACAGTTTTGGGAGGAAGGGAGGTTGGAGGTACCTTTTCCTGCTATGTAATAAAATTATGTTACATATTTATTTTTCCTAGACCGTACTGTCTCAATTTAATTCTTATCTGTTTGTGTCTTAATGTAGGTATCGTATGTGTAAGGTAAAAGTAAAAGGTGTTATACTCTGTAAAAGGTGTTATCTACTAGGTTTATAATATGTTTGGCTGTTCTGGCTAGACCCATATTTTGATCATACGTCCAGCTTCTGCCGGCTAGGAGGATTGGGGCTGTGTCCTTATAATAATAAAAATAATAATATGCTTGGCTTATTCACCCTAAGTTTGTCTAGTGAATTATTCTTGGCGCAAACTGAAAAAATTACGCCAAGATATATTTTTGAATTTATCCATAAATTTGGCACCAAATTTTACAAAATTTAATATCTAGACATAATTTGAGACGTAGAATCGAAATATGGAAAACAATTTGGTATGTTATGTCAGAAAAAGTCCGATTTTGTGTCAAAACACCTATCTTAGAATGATGCTAGATTTTACATCTAATATATATCCTTAGTTACGCTTTCGAGACATGAAAAATGAAATTTGAATTTTGTCAATCGGCCCAGTAGAACAGGAGATATAGAACTGTCCCTTTTTTTCGTAGTGTACGTGCTTTTTAATTTCTGCAGGAAATAGTCTTTTCACAGCTACAATTACACATCGTGTATTCAAGACATCGTGAATCGCATAGTTACTAGAAGTGAAGAAAAGGCTTTTCAGTTAAAGAAATATTGTAAAAGAAAGAATAGAGCTTCATGATATCTCTAAAGGTGTGGAGAGAGGCGAAGAAAAAGATTAACCAGAAAGAGACGATTAACTAATGGAAACTGATGACATTTGCATGAAAACGCTCAATTGAAGATATAGCATTTTTTGGCAATAAATTGAAACAAAGTGACTCTCTTGTTGCTAACTCAAATTAACATAAAACTAGCGGGCAAGCCTGCCATCTGCGGGCTGCGGATAATAAAACAAAATTTATGAATTCTATATACCTTAAAAGAAAATGCATCAAAACATAATCATAATCATAATGAATAAAATCAATTCACTCTTTCCAACCAATAATCAATTCGTAAATAATTTTTTGTTGCTAAACCAGAAAACGAAAACTTAAGATGCTTCATATTAATAAGTGTATGTCATGATTTAAATTTAATGTAATATAACAACTTTTTTAATATCGATAAAAGAATTAACATGGCAATAACATACCGTCTCAATTATCCTACGCTAAAATAAAAAACCTTACCAACAGAAGCCATTTGTTTAAAATGCTAAAATTAACGAAACATTTTCGATATACAATGAAGTAACATGCAATCGCCTGCTTTCTTCAACTTCAAATATGACCTTATAGTATAATAACAATATTTTTAATGTTTAGCAAATGCTATTTTTATTTCAAATTTTGTAAAACTTACAAATTTTTATTGACAAACTCTACAATTTACAAGCGAACAGTGGTAACATCTTTCGAAATAAGGTATTTTTATCACCAACCCGAAACTGTCGCCACTCAGAAAACAGCGAAATTAGCGTTTTCAGAGTTATAAAAAATTAGAAAATTAGTTATAAATGTGGTATTTTTGTCCTTAATGCATAAACTTTGCTCTAAAATGCTAGACTATTTTCAGATAAAGTTGTACAAAGAAACCGCAAGTTATCTTTTTGAACTCTGATGACAGATTGTAAAGAATGATCTCCTTCTCCTGTGCGTGTTCTCATAGTGTAATTGGTTACTATGCATAGCAAAAAGTTAGAAAATTAGCGTTTTCAGAGTTTTTGATTAATATCTCGGCTGATTAAAGTCGCACGAAGATAAGGATGGTCGAAATGGCTTTGGACGAAGAATAGAATAATGGCGAAGAATGCTCGAAATGGCCCATAAAGTTTTGGAATCTGAGGGTACCTCTTTGAAAACTTAACTCCACGCCGTTCTGGAGGTGGTGATATTACAAACAAGCAGACGGACAGACGCAGAATTTAATGTTATAGATCCTTTATTATCAAATTCTTTATAGAACAGAAAAAAAAGTAGTAACAAAAGTTCTTCAAATTACTTTTCAACAAGGCAACCATGTTTTCATGCATCACTTTATATTCTAATTGATGTGCACTGCCCCCCCCCAAAAAAAAGAAAGAAAGGGACAGTTCTATATCTCCCGTTCTACTGGGCCCATTGACGAAACTAAACTTGTGTTTTCATGTCTCGAAAGCGTGACTTAGGATATGTATTAGATTTATATATGGCATTATCCCAATAAAGGTATTTTGTATTTACAACTTTTTCTGAAATAACATACCAATTTTTTTTCCATATTTTGATTCTACCGCTCAATTTACGCCAAACTACCAAGTTTTGTAAAAATCGCACGAGTAATTTAAAAATAAAAACAATTTAGCTCTTAAAATTTTAGCTCCTCAATTCTAACTGAGTTTGGTATATATTTATTAATCTCACTTTTATTATTAAACT